GTTACCTCTGTGCTAAAGGCTTGGTTTGGGTCTCAGGCCAGGTGCTGGCCCAGGGCCTGTCCTCTCTGAATGGAGATGAAGATTGTGGTGATGAGGTGTTGGTCTGTGGGAGCAGAGCAGGGCTCTGAGACGTGCTACCTGCTCCATCTCCGAGGTCTGGGCCCTCTTGACTTGCTGGAGTCATTTGGAGACATTTGGGTCAGCGAGATCTAGCAATGGTCCATGTGACCTCAGGCCTGCCAAAGGGTCTGTTCTGGGACGCTGGGAGATCGGGGAAGGCTGAGGGCAATGTGTGATGGTTTGCATCTGGAGGTTTTAACTGGAAAAGCTGTGGGTTTCAAATTCACATCTTTTCACGTGGTGGCAGAACACCTTCACCTGATGGCTAATGATATTTTCTCCCTGGGAGGGTGCAAAATACAGGAGTAGTGTCCTGTCTCCAGTGCACTGACTCAGTTCCCCGTGTGACCTAATTCTAGATGTAACCCAGCCTTTACGCCAGTGTGTTTTGATACTCCCTTTGTGACCTGTGAGGTCTTGCTTCTCAGCAGCTGGAAATCCTGCTGCTGAGCAGGGGGTCTGAGGCCAGGGTTTCAGGTCTGGCTTAAAAGGGCTTTCAGGTTTTGACACCTAGGCCAGCCAACTGTAGGCTCACAGAGCTTGTCACCTTCTGAAGAAGGTTTAACCACAGCAGGAAAGGCTTGGCAGGGCCACAATCATCTTTGTAGGTTTAGGGTACCAGCTGTCCTACAGGATTTGAAGTAGGTTGTTGGTCTGACTCATCCCTACCCCTCTCCACCTTCCTTGGGATTTTGCTTCTGATCCACTGCTCTTTGGTGACAGCAGCCACTTGGCAGCAAACCTGCCTCATGGTTGCAACCTCGTGCTCCTACATCTGCAACCAGCAGCTTAGAACTGTGTGTATCTGCCTTAGCAGAGAGAGGACCACGGTAAACATTTGCCATTGATGTTACCTTTGAGGAGGACAGAAATCCTGCTGCATGAGATGGAGGAGTTAGGGATACCCTGGGAGGGTGGGAGGAGGCTGGGAGAGAACAGTGATTTTGGGTGGCCCTTGGGAGAAGCTACAGAGCCAGGGAACAGTACAATCCCACAACGGGGATCTAGACCTGGCCTGAGGATGGTAAGTGTTTTCAATAGAGGGTTTTTAAAGGCAAAAAAACACCTTTCACCAAGTTCTTTTCTGAATTTCTGTTCCATCTCTTTTTCTTTCTTTAAAAAAACCAACTCGGAACAAACTGTCCTTCACACACAGTGAATCTCTCCTGTCATTTTTCTTCTGTCTTAAGAGACAGAGGGCTGATGATGGTTGAATATTTCTGGCCAGCATCTGTCAGGTTGCTAAAACCAGCTGAGGACAGGCTGCAAGGTGCTCGTGGGGAAGAGTTCTGCCCGTCTTTGAACAGAGGTGGGGTGGAAGTGACCACCAGGGGTTTTGCCTTTTCACGTGCATAGTCCAAGCAACCATAATGCTTCTTTGCTGGCATCTTTCAGAGGCACAGCAGACTGGTTTGGGGTGAGCAAAGACAGCGACGCGACTCAGAAATGGCAGAGAAAGAGCCTCCGCCACTGCAGCCTGCGCTACGGGAAGCTGAAACCTCAGGTCATCCGGGAAATGGACTTGCCCAGTCAGGACAATATTTCTCTAACAAGCACAGAGACTCCTCCTCCGCTCTATGTCGGACCCTGCCAGCTGGGCATGCAAAAGGTGGGTAACCTGGGACAGAGTCAAGGCCATCGTGAGTTTCCTGCACTGTGTCTTTATCACTTTGGCAGCTCTGACCTATCAGTTCTGCCTGGACGTGCCCGGGCTCTGTGCTCAGACACTTTTCAAGTCTCAGATGCAGTTTGTCAGACTCCCTCCTTCAGCCACCTCTCTCTGATCTGGCTGGCCTGGATCCCTCAGCTGTTTTGGTGACAGGCTCAGGGCCGTGTTTGTCACGTTGTGACTATGGTGGTGATTAGATGTGTGCAGCATGGCCAAGAGCTCTCAGCTTGGGCTTTTTGCTGCCATTTTGCAAGGACAACATTCTGTTGTAGACAGAGTGGACAGTATCCTGGACCCAAATAGAGTAACAGGCCTGGTGTCACTCAGGACACTTGCCTAATGGATCCTTGTCCCAAGCAGAGCTACTGTCCTCATAGAAACCTCGTTATGTTTTAGGACTCTGAAAAGTGTCTCTTGCATCAGAATTACTACAGCTCTGCTCACAAGTCCCCAGAAATGGGTTTGAGTGCCTGCAAAGGGCGTCTGGTAGCCCCCTACTCGCTACCTTCAAGTGTCACCCCAGGGGACAAGACCCAGTCAAGCTCATCCTGGTCCCAACTAACCCACAATATCCCAGCTTTTCCCTTTGCTCCATTCAGCGATAGCAGTGGGTGTGATTGATTGATTCCTGTGCATTAGTGAGTATGGCTGCAACGTGGGCAAGTGGGGAAACAAATTCCTTCCAAAGCAGTTTAGTCTGTGACCTGAAGCCTGGCTGCATCACTGAAGCAGAGGAGAATAACGTGCATCTTGTGATCAAGTTTCACCTTATAAAGTGTCTTGCAGTTAGTCTGTGTTCACAGGAGACTCAGAAATACCGTTGGGCTCTGTGTGGGCTACATTAAATCAGAACATGGTATCAGTAGGTGTAAACCCATAAAGCTTCCTGTTGAGTGTGCAACTGTGGATTAAAAGAAGCTCGTAAAACATCAGGGTAAAGTATGGAAGCCTTTTGGAAACCACAGCTGTGATGATGTAAGGACAGAGGCAAGGTTTGTAGCTGAAGGCAATATTTTCATTAGCTTGGTTTGTGTGTTTGGAAGAAGTGAGAGCTTTGGCCTCAAGAGTCCCAAAGAAGGGCTTGCAGCTCCCGGAAGCCTGCCTGCCTTTTCCAGCTGTTTTAACTTTATTAATGGAAGTAGATGTAAATATACAGTTAAGCTTCAACAGGATACTGTTTAAGTCCTGGGCTGTCTAGTATCAGAAAGGAAACTAGTTGGAGAAAGAGCACGGCTGTTTTCTGGGATTTCTCAGACTCCTGTTCAGACAGCACATTCTCCGACTGTAGAGCTCACTGGCACAGGAGATGAATGAAACCAAGAGCTTAGGAAGGGCTGAAGGAGGTTTGGAGTCTCCTGTGAAAATCAGGAACATTTGGGGTGAAAATAGTCAATCCCAACAAAAGAAAAAGAAAAAAAAAAAAAGGCAAGGGGAGAGGTTCAATGACTTAGGTTTGAGGCTTGCGACTAAGTCTTAGCTTGCAACCAGGTATCCATATCTCCCTCTTGTAGAATTGCTTGTGGGTCTGTCCAGCCTGGTTCTTGGTGAGTCCCAGGAGCCAGGCCACTGTCATGGCCGTGAGATGTTTGCTTGGAGGGAGGAGAGTTCGGGAGGGAAGGGTTTGTCCACTAAACAGATTGATGGGCTGCTTCTCTCTGCAGATCATCGACCCCTTGGCCCGCGGCCGAGCCTTTCGTATGGCTGACGACAACGATGGCTGCAGCATCCCCCACACACCCATCACGCCGGGCGCCACCTCGCTCTGCTCCTTCACCAGCTCGCGCTCAGGGTTCAATCGCCTCCCGCGACGGCGGAAACGGGAGTCTGTTGCCAAAATGAGTTTCCGAGCAGCTGCGGCTCTGGTGAAGGTACTGTCTGTGGAAGGAGAGGGACCAGTCTGGCAGCAGGATGGGGCTCTGCCCTCAGAGAAGGGTGAGAGGGAAGGAGGTGTTGAGCAGAGAGGATGGGGAGAGCAGTGGTGGAGGGGAAGAAACCAAGCCATATCCTGTTTGTTTCAGCCATGTGTCCAGGAAGCAGGATTTGTAAGAAGCAGGGATGATGGCTAGGTTTTGGTACAGGTCTTGCTTTCCCTTTATTGGCCTGGGGGCTTTACCAGCAGCCTCAGAGAGTTCCAAGCTCAGGAAATTCAGGCTGCCTGGACCGCTGGGCAGTCCATCTGTACCTGGTCAGCAGTTGTGGAAGAGCAGAAGTACCTGAGGCTCTTACTATGCAAGTCTCTTCATCCTGCCACGTGTCTGCTTTCCTGGGCCCAGTGACCTTTCTGCTGTGTCCAGCACCACCCATGATTGTGGTCATGAGACATTGTACAATATGCAGTTGAGGAGCACGTTGGAAGCCTCACCTGCATGGGAGATGGGATTAGAAGTGGGGTAACATTTGTGAGTCTCATCAGGAAAGTGTCACACATCAGCGGGTCTGCTGAAAGCAGAAGCATGAACCAGCTCAGCATTTGGGCTCCCTGTGCGCCAGCTGGGGTGGCCCTGCATCTGCCTGGGGTTCAGGTGTCTGGCAGTGACTCGCTGGTGCTTTCTCTGGCTACAGGGCCGCTCTGTGAAGGACAGCACCCTGAGGAGAGCTCAGCGGCGCAGCTTCACCCCAGCAAGTTTCCTGGAGGAGGACACGGTGGATTTTCCAGATGAGCTCGACACTTCTTTCTTTGCTCGGGTGAGTGGCAGGGCTGTGGCCCCCAGGGCAGGACTCTGGGGATGTTGCAGAGAGCAGCGCTGCTTTCTGCTGGGGCTGGTGTCTCAAATGTGGTTCTGGCTTCTTCTGATGGGACTTCTGTTTCTCTGCCCAGGAAGGAGTCCTTCATGAGGAGCTCTCTACTTATCCGGATGAAGTGTTCGAGTCGCCATCAGAAGCTGCAATCAAAGAGGCTGAGGTGAAACCTCTGGATCAGACAGATCTCACAGGAGGTGCCTTGGACAAAAGCGAGCTTGAAAGAAGCCACTTGTTGCTGTGAGTATCTTCCAGGAAGCTGTCAAAGCCTAACCTGGGATGCCCAACCCATTCAGAGCAGGATGTCCTGCACGGAGGAAGCCAGGATCTGAGTGCTGTGAGCGCTTGGTGCAGAGCTCAAAGAGCAGTGCAGCAATGGGTTTTTCTTTAAACTTAGCTTAAGACCTCCTGCCCCAGCTACCCATGAAAGGTGACTCTGAGGCCACCTCTGCAGGCTCTCCAGTGACTTCCAGCCCCACCTGATGTGTTTTGGAGACTGTATCATGTCTTGAGGAAACAAAAAACACTTTAACTCAGCTGTGGGGATGCTGGGGGCCCAGCCTTTGGCTATGGAGAATGTAGCAAAGATGAGAAGGCTGTTGCCATTGCCACAGTCACCAGGAACTGTTGTCGCGCTCCAAGGGGCTGCGTGAAGCATTGCTGAGTGTCGAGCTGGGCTACATTCCTCACTTGAAACGAGAGAAAGGTGTGGCACTGATGCTGAGAACCCTACAAATATGTGGGTGGTACTGCACTGTGTGCCTAGATTTTTTCCACCTGAGTAACTGGTACTGAGTAATTGCTCTGTGTCGTTTCCGAGTCAGGTCTAGATTAGCTGGCATCTCACCCCAGCAGAGAGCTCCCCTGGGTGTGAACAGGGAGCAGACAGGGAGGTCCTTGTTGTGGTTCTGCTGCTCACGGCCCATCTTGCTGTGTTGGCGCTTTCCCTTCAAGTGTTTCCAAGAACTTGACTCAGTCTTAACATAAGGGGAAGCAGCAAATGGTGGGAGTTTGTTGTCACTCCGCTGAGACGGTCTCAGTCTTCTTGGATCCATTTGGATGTCCTTAAACAGTTTTATTCATTGAGGAAAATGCTTTTCTTTCACAGTTCAGAGACCTGTTATCAGAACCATAGTCGGCTGTCCTTTTAGGTGGCCAGGTGTTTATTTTGGCACAGGCTGATAGCCTGGCACTGGAAGTATTGGGAAACAATGCGTCCGTAACACAGAAACTACTTGAACTCTCGGGGCAAGAGCGGGCTGCAGTGGAGTCTGCACTTTCTGCTGGAGAAGGACTTCCCAAGGGGAAGTTGGGACTTTCAGCTTTATAAAAATGCACCTTCTACAAGGTGCAATACTGACAACAGCTGAAGTTTCACAGCAGTGTTTTTGGCTAAAGAGGTTCAGATTCTCCCTCATTCTTGTCCATTCTTCAGAGCTGTCATGATCTCTCCAAGATGCTCTGGTGATCTTTCAGAAAAAATTCTGTCAGCTGGTTTCTCTGCCCACTTCTGACGACACTTACCTTTGCGCAGAGGAGTCCATTTAGGAAGCCAGAGGAGATAAATCAGACCAGAGCGTGTCAGGGATGTGCCTGCTATATGCTAGGCAGTGGTGCAGCATGTGACAGTGTCACTCGCTTGGTCTGGGAAGCAGCTGGGATTCCTGCTCTTCTCCTTTGTGCGATTTGGTGGCCATGGGGGTTTGACTTGCCGGTCCAGTCACAGTAAAGTGCTTTAAGGGTAGGGATTTCCACTGCTGGGCTAAACTACTCCATCTCACAGCAGAGAGCACAGCAAGAGGAATAAAGGAGAGGAGGCCACAGATATACATGAGGCTGCAGATGTGCCCGGCTGCAGCCTCCACATTTTAGGCTGTTGCTGAAACACTTCTTTAAAGCCTTGAGAGTCCCTCATCAGTGGGGCTTAGTTTGGCGCAGATGCCTTGTGCCACCTTCTGCATGTAGTCCTGTGTCATCTGGCACTGTGTAACCCTTTGAAGCTTCTACTTCTTGTCTTCCATCAACTGCTGCTCAGCCCAGCTGTGGTGGGACAGAGAAGGTCTGTTGCCACCAAAGACCTGGGAGGGTGTTATGGTTTGAGAAAACCCATAACAATCCATTGTTGTTTAGACAATTATTCTATCACTCAATGACCCCTCCCCACCCAGGAAGGGGAATCGGGGAACACAAGGAAACATGAGGGTTGAAATATAAATAGATTTAATAGACTAAAACGAAATAGTTAACAATACTAAAGAACCAGTATTAATCCCGATACTGATATAAGATACAGGAGTTACACTCAGCCAGTTATATCAGTAGGAAGCCGTGCACTCCCCGCAGGGACAGCAAATGGCAGACACTGCCAGCGCAACGGCTTCAGGAGGAAGGGAAGGCCTCAGGGCTCCGGCACCGGGGCAAGGAACTGTCTGGAAAGGGCTCAGGGGTCTGGCACCGGGGCAAGGCGTTGTCTGGACCAACCGCCATCAAGGGAGAGCCCACTATGCAGCACATTTTTCTAATTTATATTGAATGTGACGTTCATGGCATGAAATAATCCTGTTGGCCAGCCTGGGTCAAATGCCCAGGCCTTGCTCCTCCTTGTCCCTGCACCTGGCAAGGCTCAAAAACACTAAGACCTTGAATCCTACAGAGCCTGGCTGGCTATAAAGTAAATATTTTCAAAAATTCAGACACTAGAGTCTTCTAGAAGTGCAATTTTCCCCAGCATTAGAAGAAAAGTTAGTCCTGTGTCTCTCAACCCAGGACAGAGGGGCTGGTCCCCATTGCTGTGCCACGTGGAAGGTAACCCCTGCTGTCCCTCTTTTCGTTTCAGCCCACTGGAGCGAGGCTGGAGGAAGCAGAAAGATGGGGCCCTGTCACAGCCCAAGGTCCGCTTGCGGCAGGAGGTGGTGAGTGTCAGCCCGCAGAAGCGCGGCCAGCGCATCGCCGTCCCCGTCAGGAAGCTCTTTGCCAAGGAGAAGAGGCCGTATGGCTTGGGGATGGTGGGGAAGCTGACGAACCGAACCTACCGCAAGCGCATCGACAGCTACGTCAAGCGGCAGATTGAGGACATGGATGATCACAGGTGAGAGCTGTGGTCACAGAAGGGTGCCCAACAGAGCTAGGGAGTGAGCGATTGCTGTCACCCCTTGGGAACTCAGGTCACTGCCTTGGGGTAGTTGGGTGAAACCAGCTGTGAAGACCCCTTAGTCTGTACCCCTGAAGTACAGTGCGAACTGGAGCAGAGAGCAGCATGTTAGCATCACTGGGAGCTCACCCTGCTCCTCATGTTGCTTTGGGTGTCTGTGTTTCAGCTACCTGGAGAGACTGCAGATCTCTGCCCCACCACCACTGTCCTGTGATGAACAGGAGGGCTGAGGTATCCCTGCCTCTCATCATTCCCCAAAAGTCATTATTTCAGACACACAGCACACACTGGCACCGGGTTTGTGTATTCTCATGGATGTTTTTTTGGGAAAGTGTGGCTTGCCCGTTGTAATGGGGCAGTCATAGTAAACAGGCTCTGTCTGCCAGCAAGACCTGTCATTGCCTCCAGTCTTGCACATCCCTCGATGGTCCTGGCCCTGTGTCCCAGATTCTGCCGAGGTGCCTGAGGGAAAAACAGCAGCTTTTCTCCTGTGTTCTGTGAATAGATTTAATGTGCCTGGGTTTCTGCCTCTGATCTTCTCCCTTTCCCTCCATCTAGGCCTTTCTTCACTTACTGGGTCACCTTTGTGCATTCACTCATCACCATCCTCGCTGTGTGCATCTACGGCATTGCCCCTGTGGGGTTCTCACAGCATGAAACTGTTGATTCAGTAAGTAAATCCCCCTGACTTACCTGGAGTGTGATTGTCTTCAGCTGCTGGCTCTTGTGTTGTGGTCTTCAGCATATTGGCTACTTGTCTGAGGGCCTTGATGGTTGGATGCTGGGTGTCCAGCCTTGGGTGGGTGCCTGCAGCACCTCCATGAGCCCCTGTTCTCCTGCTCTCCCTCCTGTGGCCACATTGCTCTTGATATCAAAATATAGCCAGCACAAAGCACAGTGGGGTCTTTGCAGGCTCTACTTGTCTGTGCCGGGAGCCCTTTCAAACAACTTGTTCCCCTCCTGGTGGAGACCAGAAGGATGTTCATGGCAGGGAAATATTTCAAACTGAGTTAAGATTTTGCAACCGCTGCAGAATTTTGCTTTTGCCAGGACCAAAACTGATCTGTTTGACTTTGAGAGGTGATTTTGAAGCTGTTTGTAGCCTCCCCATGTGTTGTTAAAGCTCTCTGGGCTACATATCTCTACAGCTCCATGCAGGGGGTGTCCCGTGGAGCTTCTCACCTACGTGTCTCACAGCTTTCAGAGTGCTGTCACCAGCACCTGAGCCCACGCTGCCAGTAAGTGCTGCTTATGCTTCTGAGCTGTGTGAAGCTTTTTGCAGGTTCTCAAGCCTCCCATGGTCTCCAGGCCTTGGGATTTCTTAGAAGTTGAAGCAGATGGAGATAAACTTTTAAAATGAAATCTTAAGATGAAGGTGTCTGTGTCTTGATGGGGCTGTATCTGTGATTCTACAAAAGACCAGTCTGAGAGAGTTGTGGGGGTTTCTGTTCATCCTGGGTGCTGTTTCACCAGCCCCAGCTGCTTTCCCTGCTGACTCTTTGGGCAGGAGCTCACGGGGCTCTCGCTTTCTCTCCTTGCAGGTCTTGAGAAACAGAGGGGTTTATGAAAACGTCAAATACGTTCAGCAGGAAAACTTCTGGATCGGACCCAGCTCAGTGAGTGCCGTTGCCTGGGACGGTTGTGGGCTGAGGAGAGACTGCCCTGCAGCCATGCCACCCTGGGGACAGAGCCCCTCTGCTGCTTGGAGCTTGGTGCTACCAACTGCTGTTGGTTGGAGTTCTCCATGGGGTCTGCCATCACTGGCAGGGTGCAGGGGTGCTTCTGGCCCCAGCCACCTGCAGAGTGGGCTACCTGGAGGCTGGGGTGGATCTTGGGGCTCCTGCTTTGCACCTTGTTCTTAGGAAGCCAAGAGTGGGGCTAGAGAAGATGCAGGAGGTGTACGGTGTATGACAGCTTTCCTGATGCCGTTCCTCCTGGGAAAGGCTGTCGTGTCTGAAAGTTTCCTGGCCACAGTGCTGGCCTTTCTGGGGCCGTGGGCAAGGAAATCCTAAACTTTGTGCTGGGCTTGCCTTCCTGAAGTGAAATACTGAGAGTGTGCCTGATGTGTGTTGGGCTTCGTCGTGCAGGACTTGTCCCTGGTCCCTTGAGCCCTGATAGGGGTACCCCTCGCAGTTCCCCCAGCTTGCTCTGCTCCTTGGCTGAGCTGAGTGTTTCCATCTCTGCCAGGAGGCCCTGATCCACCTGGGGGCCAAGTTCTCGCCGTGCATGAGGCAGGACCAGCAGGTGCACAGCTTCATCAGCGCCAAGCGGGAGAAGGAGAAGCACTCTGCTTGCTGCGTGCGGAACGACAAGTCGGGCTGCGTGCAGACGTCAGAGGAGGAGTGCTCAGTGAGTGTGGGGGCCCCTTCCCATGCTGTCCCTGCAGGCTCAGGGCCACTTCTGTTGATGCTTTTCCCACCTTGGGCTTCACGGAGTGCTCAGTGAGTGTGGGGGCCCCTTCCCGTGCTGTCCCTGCCCTGTTGATGCTTTCCCCACCTTGGGCTTCACAGTGACACCTCTCCTCTCTCCTGCAGTCCACCCTGGCTGTGTGGGTGAAGTGGCCCCATCACCCCAGCACACCAATGCTGGCAGGAAACAAGAGGCAATTTGGGTCTGTTTGTCATCAGGACCCCAGGTAGGTCCTGCCTATCCCTGGCAGAGGGGACAGGGCTGCTGTGATGGTAGAGTCAGAGAGGCATGGAGTCCCAGGCCAGCTGATTGCTCTGGAGACCAGGGGATATAGGGGTAGTGATGTCCCTACTTGCCCCAACGGCTGCAAGGGAGGCAGAGCGTGATCACACTTCTGCTTGCCCCTGGCCTCCATTGTTGTTGGCTGCCCACCTGCACAGCTGTGGGTGCCTTCCTCATCCCTCTCCCCCTCCTCACCTCCTCCTCGCACAGGCTCCCTTCTTGGGGTACAAGCAGTCCCGTTCCCAGCACACCTCTGCCCCAGAGCCCTGCCAGCTCTGTGTGCCACGGGACACCTCTGCCCTCCCTCACCATGGGGTGACCTAGAGCTGGGACCATCTGAGTGCCCACCTTTGGGGTTGTGTCCCCCTGGAAAGGAGGCAGTGAGTCGCTGGGCAGCTGCCTTTGGGAAGCGTGATCTCTGCTCACTGGGAGGAGGCTGTGGCTTTGATCAGCTCAGCCTTAGCTCATCTGACATAGCGTGTCACCAGCCCCTTGCCAGGGACAGAGGGGAGCTGTGGGACCACAGCCTGGGGTCAGGGACAGAGTGGTGGCTCCCTGGGGGGATCCTGCCTGGTACTGGGGAAAGTTATTTCTCAGGCAGATCTCTGCTTTCTGTTGCTGCAGGGTGTGTGAGCAGCCAGCCTCCATGGAGCCGCATGAGTGGCCAGATGACATCACCAAGTGGCCGGTGAGCATTGCTGGTGGCACAGAGCCTGTGTGGGCAGCTGGAAAATGGCATTTGCATCCCACTGTGCAGAGCCACAGCTGTGTTGGTGGAATGGGGGGGGTCAAGGCATCCGTGGCTTTGTCTAGTCAAGGCTCAAAGCCCTCCAACGACAGAAGTTCCCCTGTGCCAACTAAAGCCCTAGGCCCTGCCAGGGTAACAGGGCAATAGAGAACCACTCATCCTTGGGGCTGTTTTCATCCCTCAGCAGAGAGAAGGTGTTGGTTGAGGCTTAGGCATATGGGGTGTCAGGCACCCTCCTGCTGTCAGAGGGAGGCCAAGGGAGGCCCTCCTCTGTGCATCTGGCTTCCTCCCATGGGGCTGTTTCGGCTTTACTCAGGCAGCAAGCAAAGCCATGGCTGACTGCAGCCTGTTGTGATTTTCCAGATCTGCACAAAAAACAGTGCTGGGAATTACACCAACCACCTTCACATGGACTGCGTGATAACAGGCCGGCCCTGCTGCATTGGGACCAAAGGAAGGTAATGAGCTTTACCTGGATGGAGAGGGGCTAGGTGTTAAGGACACAGGGGACCCTTTTCAAGCTGTAGACACAGCCATTTGTCCTCCTTGTCCTTCCCACATGCAGCCCAGAGCCCTGCTGGGGAGTTGGACAGGGAGCCATGACAGGTCTCCCAGACGGAGTAGGACTCTGGGATGAGCAGAGATAACAGCCAGCCTGAGTCTTTGACATGACAGGGTATCTTGCTCAACCGGTGCTGCAGTTTGGAGGGACTCAGATCCCAAAGGATTAAATACTTCTGCTGGGGAGTTCTGCAGTTTTACTTGGGAATGGCCAGCTTGGTCCTGACAGGCTACATTGGCCCCAGCCTGGACTCCCTGAGCACTCGAGGAGATGTCAGGAAATGACCTGCTCTGGGTTTACCGAGGAGGATGCTGCTGATCTTCCTCATGTTGGTCCTCGGCTTAAGTAGTTGCCCAGTGCTTGGCTTTCACTGCAGGGGAGAAAACTCAGTACTGCCCCAAGGAGTTTCTCTGTCCCTGAAAGCCACGACCAGGACGCTCTTGGCCTGGCCCACCCTTTCCACTCTGTTGGCTACAGAGGCACAGACACACAGCTCTCCCAAGCTCTGGTAGTGCTTGTTTCAGAGCCCCTGTGTGCAAGGTGTTAGTGTGTGGAAGGGACTCAGCCTTGGCTGTGGGAGAGAAGCCAGAGGGGGGTGAGGAGAGTGGCACTGGGCTCAGTGGGAATGTATTGGTGCATGTGCTCTTGAGACACTGCAGCACATCAGGGGCAGCTGAAGGCATCAGTTCTCACGGGCAGATTTGGGATGAGACAAGGGGGAGCGGGTGGCCTGGGAGGACACAGGCAGATCCGTCGTGCCTTCCACGTGTGACTTGTTCCTTGTTTTGACTACTTATGCTTCCTCCAGGTGTGAAATAACCTCCCGGGAGTATTGTGAATTTATGCGGGGCTATTTCCACGAGGAGGCAACCCTCTGCTCTCAGGTGAGTGCGGAGCTGGGGGGCTGTATGGCTGCCTCTTCCCCTTAACAGCGTGGCAAGATCTGAAGACGACTGGTGTGGTGTAGGTGGGAATCCTGTGTCCTGTCCCACCCTGAGCCCGGGGAAAGCTGCTGATCCAGACTGTAGTGGCAGAGCTGGCTGCATCTGTCCCTCTTTGGAGACCAGTTGGGCTGACAGCTGTGAAAGCCCAACACAGGACCACTGTGGAAGCAGCGGGTGAATGCCATCTTCCTGGCGAGCAAACACCCATGTCTCAGTTGTGTGTTGGGGTAAAGAATGAGGGCATAAAGCTGCCACAGGGAATGGGTAGGGTCATGGGGAACTTGGTGTTGGAGACAAGGGGTGGGACTTGATGCAGAGGGAGGAGAGCCCCTCTTTCAGAGCTCCCTACAGCCTCTGCCCTGGCCCTGCTAAGGGGCCATGCTGGCTGCACGCCTCACAGCCCCACTTCTGCCCTAGGTGCACTGCATGGACGATGTCTGTGGACTCCTCCCTTTCCTGAATCCAGAAGTCCCTGACCAGTTCTACCGCCTCTGGCTCTCGCTTTTCCTCCATGCTGGGTGAGCACAGGCATAAAACTTCCACTGTCTGGGTGGGGGAACCCTGAACCCTGGGATTGCTGAGGCTTGTTCTGGCAATCCCTTCCCTGGGGGACACGGGGGTGCTGAGCTGTTGTCCCTGCTGGGGTTTACCATACTGTGTTTGCTGGGAGGGATGGTAGAGACGTGGCCAAGGCCAGACAAGGACCTCTCCAGCAAGACTTGGTGCAGAACACAGGGGTGACTTCAGTGGCTGCTGCTTCAGCTCCTGTACTCTGAACTTGGCAGGATCCTGCACTGTCTGGTTTCAGTCTGTTTCCAAATGACGATCCTGCGGGACCTAGAGAAGCTGGCAGGATGGCATCGCATCTCTATCATCTACCTGCTCAGTGGCATCACTGGGAACCTTGCCAGTGCAATATTTCTACCCTACAGAGCAGAGGTGGGTCTCCTGCAGACTAGGGTCCTGGTAACTCGCCCTGAACACAAGCCTTCTCTACACACCTGTGCCTCCCCGGCAGAGACACCAGAGCTGGGCTCGTCTCTGCAGCACGTGCTTTGTGCAGATTTGTAGCTAGAAGATGGCACCAGACCATCATCTGGCTGCTGAGCAGTAACATTCCCAGACTACCCTAGGCTTTCCAAGTCCCTGCTGCGGTCTGCCTGCAGTAAGAAGGCTGCCTCCTGTGATGAATAGGGGGTTTATCCAAGAGGCTGGGAATTGAAAGCCATAGCTGATGCCAGAGACCCTCCACAGAGCAAAGAGCAGAGCTCACTTTTCTCCCAGACTATCCAGGACTGTCTTCCAGGTCCTTCAATAAGGAAAAGTACATGGTGGGGGCGGGGGGGGGACCCAGGAAATCGCCTTCAAGGCCTTCTCCCCTCTGGCGACTTAAACCAGATCTGCCCTCCTTAAAGTCTCTTCTGGTGATCGCCGGCATCACATCTACTTTGATCCTAAATCAAACCAAGCCCCTTTACTCCTTGAACCCTGTGATGAAGTTGGAGGCTGTGGCATCTCCTTCCTGAGAAATGCAGAACAAGGAATTGAATGCTAAATAACTAATGCCTGGAGCTGGCTGCAGGAGCCAGATGGAATGTGCCTGATGTTACCTGTGATCCTCTTCTTCTGCAGGTTGGCCCTGCAGGATCCCAGTTTGGGATTCTGGCCTGTCTCTTTGTGGAGCTCTTCCAGAGTTGGCAAATCCTGGCACGCCCATGGAGGGCTTTCTTCAAGCTGCTGGCAGTGGTGCTCTTTCTTTTTGCCTTTGGCCTCCTGCCTTGGATTGATAATTTTGCTCACATTTCAGGATTTATCAGTGGTTTCTTCCTCTCCTTTGCCTTCCTGCCCTACATTAGCTTTGGGAAGTTTGATTTATATAGGAAGCGATGCCAAATTATAGTTTTCCAGCTCATCTTCATTGCACTCTTCTCAGGACTTGTGATTCTGTTCTATTTCTACCCCATCAAGTGCGAGTGGTGCGAGTTCCTCACTTGTATACCCTTCACAGACAAATTCTGCGAGAAATACGACCTGGACGCGCAGCTCCACTGAAAGGCAAAGACTGGCTTCTCGAGCAGGCACTGGAGAGGGACTGTCTTTGCATTTGCTGTGCCAGTTCCATATGGACAAAGCCTCTAATCCCATGACACTTCTAACCCTGCCCGTGGTTAATTTAAACTGTCTCCTTAGCACTTGGCAGGCATGTTTTGCCTTATCTCAGAAGACTCTGAAAAATGGAACGTTTGTGCCTTGTTCAATTGTATTGAACCTTTTCTGCTGCCATTATTTTTATTACACTAGTTTCAATACTACATTTTTAACCAGAGTTGTTTACTACTGCTAAGGTGGTGATTAAACGGTAAGGTAGCGTTTTAGCTACTGTTAATTGTTCTGCATAGTCTATGGCTACATTCTTTACTTCATCTCACCTATGCTGTTTCACATGCCAGTAGAATCAACCCTTTTCTAGCACCCAAAACAGTCAGACACAGATTTACAGCTGGAAACCAGGGCCTTAAAAGTCTTAGAAAACTAGAGGGTCTCTTTAATCACTGCAAATGCATTCCCCAAACAGCTCAGAGGCCGACGCTTCAAATAGCAACTGCAAAAAACATGTGAGAATGTCCATTCAACTGGAGTTTGTTTCTCTCTGAAATGTTGCAACCTTTTCCTCCGGGGAAGTGCTGAATCCACAGTCGGGCCTTGATAGGGCTGGGTTCTCTGCTCTCTCTGTTAAAGAAATGAAACATTTGGCAGTGACAATAGTTTCCACATGCTGGGCTCCCTTATCACCCCATTACTGGGCCTGGACGGGCTGGGGGGTTTGGCCAGTGCCACAGGTGACTGCTGGCCACAGGCTCTGTGGGGCAAACTGCTTCTGTCATGGCACACGTTTTATGGCACTGGATGCTGCAAATGTGGCAGTGTTGAAAGAAGAAAATAAAAGTTCCTGTGGTCACAAAGCAACAGTTTCTAACCCAGCTCCCTGGAGCCGCAAAACAAAAACCCAAGTGTTTGGAAAAGCTGTTATTACCACTGCTCTTCAGACACTGTGATTGTGTTTTTGGATGTGGAGGAGAAGCAGGCGTAATTTTAAACTTACTAAGGCTGAGAATCTTGGCCACATCTTGTGTTTGTGTGCACAACTTCCTAAAAATAGCAGTGTAATACCAGAATTACCTCTACAGAGGTTACAAACAGGTAAATATAGATGCTACTCGTGCTTCCTGTGCTGGAAGTGTTCTTAAATGTAGTGGTTGCACGGAAATATCCTGACCAAAAGTTGTCTAGTGTTGTGTCTTGTCTCCTGAGAACAATGAATTGGTTGAACTCAAGTTTCTATAAACCAGAAAATGGAGAAACTGGGAGTCAAAAACTACAGGATAAGTAAGCTAAGGTCCCTTTTCCTTACTCCTTAGAGCTTGCAGTAACAGATTAAAGTGGCTCCAAATACACCCACTGTGGAAGAGCAAAGAACATGCTGCATTTGCCTAGGAGCCTAAAAGCAAGTGAGTTCCTAGAAGCAATCACAGCAGCCAGCAAAGGAACACTGCATTTAACGAGTCTCAAGACACTGGGAGAAGATTTGGAGTCTAAACATGAAGTAGGGTTAGAGATGCACCAAGATACTGCTGCTGCTCCTCGTGTATGTTAACTGAAGTAGCTGAATTACCATTCCTTGCCCTGAGAGAAGCACAAACACCACGACCAGGCTATGGAAACAGCCCACAGCCAGGGCACAAGCCTAAGGCAGACATGAGCATTCAGAAATGCTCCACTACGCAGCGGAGAGCGGCAACACCAGCTGCCGTGAGCCTGAACACCAAGGGCTGGGGAAGAGGAAGAACTGGTAGCTCTCAGTGGATATTCAGGACTTACCTGCCAGGTTACTTTCGAAGCTTCTTTATGAAGCTGACCTCATCCCGGTTTCTGATGCCGTACCTGAAGAGAGAGTTACACTGTTAGAGGCCAGCTTCCCAGGAACCACAGCCTTTGAAATCCTACAGCCTCCTCTTTCCCATGGGGAGACGGACTCCTACGATCGCGTGCTGTGCTCTAATGCAGGACAAATTAAAATTCTCACTTGTGTATGCAAAACACGCTGCCAGCACTGGAGGATCCGAGCAGCTGCCTTTTTAACTGCAACACCCCCTTAAAGGCAACATCTATCACCTATGGCTGTCTTTTGAAGACAGGTTTGATTAGGGCCATCTCACTACATCAGACAAACTGTAAGCAACAGCTAGAGGGCTCAGGAGCACCTCCTGCCTCCTTGCCCTGAAAACGAGTGTGAAAACGTGGGAGTCATTTGTCAGTGTTGTTAACAGATTATCACTGGCTAAGCAAGTCCAGAGCCCAACATGCTTCTTATTGGTTTGCTCTTTCCTTGCCATTCTTCCACCCTCCTTTCTACCTCAGCAGCTCTGCAAGGGTGACCGAGCACTGGAAGGTATTGGCCACAAAGGTTGTGCAGTCTACCTTAGAAATATTCAAAACCCACCTGGACACAGCCCTGAGCAACCATCTCTAGCTGACCCTACTTATGCAGAGGGTGGGACTAGATGCTTTCCAGAGGTCCCTTCCACCACATAATGTGTCCTGACCCCATCCTCTGCTGAGCAGCTGTTCCCTAAGTGCTCCCATTTTCCCTGAAGATGAACTAATGTGCTCCATGTGCACAATGCCATCCCTGGCCTTCTCTGTGTTCTACTCCCCCCATGCTCATGCTTCTTCTCACTGATCTTGTTCCTGCAGGGTCCCTCAGGTACAAGCTTAGTAACCATAACCTATTCTGCAGGAGTTTGGCATAGATGGCCAAGGGGCAACATCTCTTGAGTGCTTTGGTGTGGTCCAAATTGGATGAACACACTCGGCACAGGATGGTTGTGGCTGAGGAACTACCCAAGGCCCCCTGTGTCCTGCAGATGGGCTCTCAGTCTGCCAGGGCAGAGCCTGTCCCACCTTCCACCCTGGTTCAAGTGCGGGACCTCTCTGAGGCAGGGCCCAAAGTCCCAAGCTAGCCCTGCCAGCGCGGATGCCACCTGGATCCTCGGGGAGGACCCTCCACCCCCCGGGACACCCTGGATCACTCACTCTCTCAGCTTCTTCCTGTCATCCGCCAGCTTCTCTCCACCGTAGGTTAAGTGGTACGTCCTCCATATGTACTTCCTAGGGGAAAAACACTTAGTGGAAGCTGGTGAAGGGCCTGGAGAACAAATCGTACGAAGAGTGATTGAAGGAGCTGGGACTGTTTAGTTTGAGGAAGAGGAGACTGAGGGGTGACCTCACTGCTCCCTACAACTGCTTGAAAGGACATTGTAGAGAGGTTGGTGCTGGTCTCACAGGTAATTAGTGACAGAACGAGAGGGAACGGATTCAAGCTGCAACAGAGTAGGTTTAGGCTGGACATTAGGAAAAAGTTCTTTGCAGAAAGAGTGGTCAGACCCTGGAAGAGGCTGCCCAGGAAGGGAACTGAGTCACCATCCTTGGATGAGTTTAAGAGCCATTTAGATGTGGTGCTGGCGGATATGGTGCAGGGGGAAACTTTGTATGGTAGGGTAGATGGTTGGACTCGATGATCCCAGGGGTCTTTTCCAACCTGGATGACTCTATGATTAGGAAGAAGCGGGCAGGCCCGTTTCCCCCTAGGCCATAGGAGAGCGGTGAAGATGGGGGCTCGCAGCCCGCCCCCCCGCCCCGGTCCCGGTGCCGGTCCCGGTGCCGGTGCCGCTCACCAGCTGAGGTGCTGGACGCCGCCCTGCCGTGCCTGCCGCAGCTGGACGTGCCGCCGCAGGGCCTTCTTCAGCTCCAGCACCGAGGCGTTCTGCACCACCACCACGGCTGGAAGAGAAGGGGGGGAGAGCCCCGGTCAGCGCCCCGCCGCTCCTCTCCGACCCGGCCCTGCCCGCCCCGCCCGGCCCCGGGACGCACGCATGGTCTCGCCGTCCGCCTTGCAGACTCGCACCGTCATGGCCTGCCCGTACTCCAGCGCCACCTGCGACCCGATCTCCTCCGCCGTCACCTACGGGCGAGACGGCCTGGCTCTCAGACCCTTCCACCGCCCCTTCCCCGTGCCCGTCCCCCGCC